TGTTTGCTTGTGAGGTCATCCCAAATCTGGTAGGGTTGACCATGTGGTGGCCTGTAGCTTGCTCGGGAGCGGAATTGCCTCCCAATGCAATCAACAGTTTTGTCCAAAATTGGCCTTGGTCTTCAGTACTCGAGTTGCTGCTGCTTCGATTTTGTTGCTTATGTCAGACAGGCCAGATACCTTCCTCCGTTCTAGGCGAGTTACTCCGCTGAACACAGCAATTCGGCTGATTCTGGCCGTGAGACATCAATCATCCTTTAATTGTATTCATTGTTGAGAAGCTTCACGTGGGTTGTGGTGCGCTTGAAGTCAGGTCCGTTGATGAATTTGTTAGATTAGCGGGGAATATATAGACCACCACCCAGGTATGCTCGGCCGTTCTCTGTTTTCCTGTAGAATTTGCACCACTTCCCTGGTTCCGGCACGGCCGCTCAGATCGGAGAATTTGGCTGCAAGCGTTAGCTCGTCGTTTTCGCGCCTTCGCCGTTGGGGAAACATGTGGGGCAGTGGGGGTCTGTTTGGGGGTAAATTCGCTTGTGTTCTCGGTGTTGGAGTTGCTCGCAGAGCTCCAGCGCTACGCAGCTGAGGCCGGTGCAAGTCCGGTGACAGGTGGAGAGGAAGTAATCGAAAGCAGCTCCGCCGTGTGTGATCCGATGGAATCGGTCATCCAGGCACCATCTGCGTGAGGTAGAGTTGAGGATTTCATCCCGAGGGTAGGCAATGGCCCCGAAAGTTGGAGGTGTGTCGTTGTCCATGGTACCATGCGAACACACAACATGAGAGTGAGTTTGGGATTTGCAATAGCTGGAAAGTGTTGGTTAGTGAACTTGCTTGCATGGCATCGTTCGGAGATTGAGGTCCTTCCGGTCGTCTGGTTTTTACTGAAATTTGAGATGTTTCCGCCACGTGACGCGAGATGTCATTTCCCAGATACTGATGATATGGACGGTCCTTTTCAGCAATGCGATGATTGTGACTTCCATCGTCGTGCACTAATCCCAAAATTTTGCCCAGATTTCTCCTTCGACCTTTCGTTCGTCCATGTCACCTTCTGTGTTTATGTTCCCTGCCACCCTGCCATTGATGGGTCTCTGGTCACCCCCCGGTTGGTGCGTTGTTGACTTGCCTCCGCTGTGTTTTGGTTCTCTGTTCTCTCCTGTATTGCATTGGTGATTCTTTTGTGTTCTTGTATTTTATCGCTCTGTTTACCCTTGGGGTCCTTATTTTGGTATACCTTTTGTAGGTACGCTAGCCTGTGACCACGGAAATTGACTGAGTCAATTGCTGGATTAGTACGGAGAGATTGAGACAGAAGGAGGTACTGGATTGAGAGACCGGCATGGTTTTTAATGTGAAGACAACAACAACCCCAATTACATATGCGGGTTCTTGTTCCCAGACCAAATCGGAACTGAGCACGTGCTCAATCCGCCAAGTTCCTACATTTTGATTTTTTTCGGAGCTGAATTTTTTTCGTGACTCCCAAGTGTATCACGTGACGTTTGTCAGCGTTGCTCGGGTCGTTGTTGGCGCGTAATTGCCAACCAACGGGGCTAATTCCTCACCAAACCGCCGTCTGTCGCATCGCGAAAATCTGATTAATTGTGTGTGTTGCGATTACGCCTTACTATCTAATTCTGTGGGCCAGTCTACGCTTACCGATACGTGTATCGTTGACTATTATAACTCGACGGGGGTCAGACCCTGTGGTATGCTCGCGTAATTAGAGGTTAGGTTCGACCCAAATCCTGAACAACAGCTGTGAGAGGGCCTGCTCGTTGGTACTTCCGTCGCGTGACTTCAGCTTGGGACTCAACGCACCTTCGCGAATCACATGTTGAAAGCATTGAATCCAAATCCGCATCGGTGCGCCACTTATTGCTCCATTCTTTCTTAGTCACCTTTTCATTCCTTGATAACCCAATCGTCATCACCGGCTCCCTCGCTACAACGTGCTAGCTAAACGACAACACCCGTGTCGCTTATCGTCAACCACGTCCGCCGCCCCCGCCCCTACCACCGCCTCCTCCTCTTCCCCTCGCCTCCCCTCTCCCACCAACACGCCGACCACCACCTCGCCCCTGCCCCGTGCCTCTGCCGCCCCCC